AAAGACAGGGAATGGGAGAACAGTATTTTCAGATTCTTTGGCTGGCTTTAGGGATGAGGGATTCTGGTTTCTATGGACTGCCTTGGAGAAGAGAAATTCTGTTTTCTCTGGCTTCCCTGGAGTGGTAGAACAATGGGAGACAGAAGGAAATACCACTTTTGGGGCTCTTCCTCAGAGCTCAAGTTCACAGTATGGCGCTGTGGGGCATTGTTTTCTGAGTTCCAACATGAACCTACTGTGGCAATTGCTCCTTCATATCCATTCCCTCACTGTGGAATCATTCCCAAACCACTTAGCCATGACTCTAAAAACTCTCAGTTGCTGTTCCATGTGTTTCACTTTCTTCTACTAGCATTAAAGCTCCTTAAAATGTTTCTTTTCAGGGATTGGAGAGATGGTTCAGAGGTTAAGAGCTTATATGTTCTTGCAGAAGACCTTTCTGTCCACAGCACTCACATTGCTTCCCAATCCACCAAGATATGAGCAAGAAGTACCCAGTACCAGTTCCCAGTACCCCAGCTTTAAGGCACCATCAACTCTGCTATGCCTTCCCTGCCTTGATGGATTATATCTTCTTCAACTGTGGGCCAGAATAAGCCCTTCTTCTTCTAAGTGATATTTTGTCACAGTGACAAGAAAAGTCATAAGAAACAAAGCATTATGCAGACTCTGGGGACTCCCTGGGCACAGGATGGGAAAAGCCAGGGCAACAACTCTGAATTAGAAGGAAACAAAGACAATATATTACTTATTTTTTTGTTGCTGTGATAAAATGCAATGTGCAAAAGCAACTTATGGAAGAAATAATTTATTTTGGCTTATGGTTCTAGAGATAAGAGTCTATCATAGCGGGGAAGGCATGGCAGCAAGTGGCAGGAGCAGGAAGCAGAGAGCTCACACCTTCAATCACAAAAAATGAAGTAGAGAGATGACAGACTGCATTCTTAAACTATGAGCCAGCATAAACTCATTCTCCCTTGAGTTCTTGTTGATGTATTTTTTTCACAGCATCGGGGAAATAAACTAAGACACTTATTCTCTGTGTGTGACCAGTTGTGGATCTCTCTAACAGTCTCCATCTGTTGTAAAAAGAAACTTCTTTGATGTGTGGTGACACAGGTATACTTGTCTGTAAATTAAGGATCCATATTTAGTATACAGTAAGAAATTGTTTGTCTAGGATGTGATAGACATTGGGTTTTCTCAGGGATTGATGACTTCTCCAGCCAGGTGTATTTGGCTATATTTACAGTATACACATGAGTTTCTTCCCACTGAGTGGGCTTTAAGTTCAATTAGATAGCTGTTGGTTACCTCCAAGATAAAAATGCCACTACTGCTGTCCCAGACGTTGTTGTGTTTATTAAGCTTTAAAGCTGGGGTTGAACTAGCCATTGATTTTGTCCCTTGGCAGCTTGCATAGTGTCCTCTGAAACTTATGAGAGCCAGTCTTCAGGGAGGAGGCTTCCAGGTCAGTTCCAGCTCTATTGCTTCAAGTCCTGTGTTTGAAGTATGTCCTGTCTTCAGCAATAAGGTCTTTCCTTTGCATTCTGGGAGGAAATCTTATCCCAAACAGAATGGTTTTAAAAAATATTTTATTTATATTTTTATTTTATGTGTTTGAATGTATTGCCTGCACCTGTGTTGTGCAATGCCCAAGAAGGTCAGAAGAGGGCAATGGATTCCCTTGGAACTGGAGTTACAGTTGTTAGCCACCATGCAGGTGCTGGGTATCTAACCTAACTCCTCTGCAAGAGTAGTCAGTGCTCTTAACCATTGAGCCATCTCTCCAGCCCCAGAATGACTAAGATCAAGAGAACAAATGACGAGGATGTAGGGAAAGGAGAACAGTCATTCACTGCTAGTGGGATTGCAAACTGGTGCAACAACTACTGAAAGCAATGTGGAAAACTCTTTAAAAAACTACAAATAAATATATCATATGATCCAGTTATACCACTCTTTGTCATATACCCAAAGAACACATCCTATTGCAGAGACACTTGTGCATCCATGTTCATTGCTGCTCTTTTCATAACAGCTAAGAAATGGAAACAACCTAAATGCCCCCCCGATGATGAATGGATAATGAAAATGTGGTACATTCACACAGTGGAGTTCTACTCAGTGGTAAAGAAAGATGAAATCATGAAATTTGCAGGTAAGTGGATGGAACTGGAAACTGTTATACTAAGTGACGTAAACAGACTCAGAAAAACAAGTGACATATGTTCTCTCTCATTTGTGGATCTTAGCACCAAATCCTTGTATGTGAGTATACTGCCTGATGTAACTGCAGGAGCCAGGAAAATGGAAAGGAACCATGGAGCTAAATGGAAAGAAGGAACTCAAGAAGGGATTAATACGGAATCAGGTATTATCAAGGAGGACATGGGGAAAATAGGGGTACTTTAACTGGGGAGGGAGGGCTAGTCAGGGGGTGGGTGAGAGAGAGAGGAGAGAGAGAGAGAGAGAGAGAGAGAGAGAGAGAGAGAGAGAGAGAGGAGATAAATAATGCTTAGGTGGTGTGAAAAACAGAGGGCAATGCATTGGTTCAAAAGCCTACTCAAAAATACACATATAGTATCTGTATATGAATGCATGTGTATAGCTGAAGGCTATATAGCAAGAAACACAAGACAGGAGAAACCTCACCTCCAGTTGTTGGTCAGTGTAGTTCAAGAGACCCTCAAATAACAGTCACCTGACTATTATTTGACAACTTTTGTTGTTGTGATTCCTCCTCTTCATTTTTAAAATTTTTTTTCATTTATTTACTTTTATTTTATGGGTATGAGTGGCTTTGTTTGTTTGTTTAAACTTACCTACACACAGGCAATACACGCATACACATAAAATAAA